GAATGTAAGGTCGTGGCGGTTGCACAGAAATGTCGCAATAGACAGGTAAATTACCGTTTAAAGTTTTGATCCTTTTTAATTGCAGGGAAGAGCCATGAAGGAGTAGATTTTGCAGTTCAGGATCTTTGTCCTGAGCTCGTGCAAGATCATTGTAGTCCACAGCTGTAGTGATCTCCTCTACTCTAGGAAGTGCGTCAGCTACTAAGTTTTCCGTACCAGGTAGGTATCTCAGGTCGGTTGTAAACTGAGCAATGTAGTCGAGGTGTCTGAATTGTCTAGGAGTGCATTTGTTTTTGCTTTTTGAGAAAGCGAAGGTGAGAAGCTTATGGTCGGTGAATATTGTAAATATTCTGGCCTCAACCATGTGATGGAAGTACTTGATGGCTTCGTACACAGCCAACAGCTCTCTGTCGTAGGGGCTGTACTTCCTCTGTGCGTTGCTGAGCTTATGAGAGTAGAAAGCAAGTGGTTGCCAATCCTTACCTTTCCGTTGTTGAAGGACGGCACCTATGGTAGTTTCAGATGCGTCTGTCACTATTGCTAGTTCTGCAGCTCGGTCGGGATGAGCAAGAAGAGTTGCTTGAGATAGTGATTCCTTACAGTCTTCGAATGCTCGAAGTAATTGCGGAGTCATGTCTATCAGATGAGACCCTTTGATTTTTGAGCCACTGAAAACGTCATTCAGCGGTGCTTGAAGTTGGGCAAGCATAAAGTTTGGTAAAAGTTTAGCATGCCTAAGAAACGTCTTAGTTCTTTGACGGTTTTTGGAACGGGGTATTGCCTGATAGTTTCGACTTTGGACTCAAGTGGTTTAGTACCTGCAGCTGACACGTGGTATTCCAGGAACGTGACTTCTGGTCGGCCAAGTGTACACTTGGCAGTATTTAACACTACGCCGTACTGCTTTAGGCGTTCGAAGAGTTGCCGCAGATGGTTGTTGTGCTCTTAGATTGATGACAAAAATACTAAGATGTAATATATATATCCGTAGCAGAAATTGAGTCCTTGCAACACCTCGTCAATGAACCTCTGGAAGGTTTGTGCTGAGTTTCTTAAGCCATAGTTCATGAACGGGAATTCGTACAATCCAAATGGAATTGTGCCGTTTTCATGATGTATCTATTGACAGCAATCTGATTGTACGCCTTGACTAAGTCAATGGCAGAAAAGATAGAACAGCCTGTACGTTGATGTGAGAAGTCGTGGATATGACGGATGGGATATCGATCAGGTATAGTTCTATTGTTCAATGCTCTGTAGAAAAAAAGATGATAGTTGGAGACCATGTGGAGACTCCACATGGTCTCCAAAATTCATCTTTTTTTCTTACCATGTGCAGAGGAGAAGACCAAGCGCTTTCCGATGGTCTGGCTATGCTGCTGGCGAGCAAGTCTGAGAACTCTTGCTTCGCAGCTTGCATGCGAAGTGGATCCAGGTGTCGAGGCTTACTGGCTACTGGAGGTCCTGAAGTCGTCCTGATGTGGTGCAGAGTGTTATGTTTGCATGGTAAGTGCATACCTGGAGGGCGATTTATCTCGGGGAATTCACGCAGTATTTGGTGAAATTCGGTTTCTCCGATGACTGACTTCACCGAAGCGATGTCCCCCGTTGATGTGCGGGCTACGACGTTGACCGAGAGAGCAGTGACATTGTCAACTAATCGTTGATTCCTACAGTCGACCAGTAAATTGTAGTGGCTGAGGAAGTCAACTCCAATGATCGGTCGTGTCACATCGACTATTGTGAAATTCCATGAGAAATTCCGTCTCAATCCTAGATTGAGGTATAGCGTTATCGGTCCGCAGGTGTGTATGACTGTGTTGTTAGCAGCTATGAGGTCATACCTGGATTTATAGCAGGGCGTCTTGACTGCTGACCGGGGAAAAACACACAGGTCTGAACCAGTGTCCACGAGGAACTGCATTTTTGATGTCCGATCAGAAATGAATAAACGGCCTGTTGAAGAGGGGTAGTCGCTGGCCGTTACTTTCGACACCCATGTAAGTTTTCCGCCTTGTATGTGCAAGGCTGCTTACACTTGTTTGCTTTGTGCCAATATGTGTAATGGTAAAAGCAGTGCGGGTGATCCGGTGGAAACTTTTTGGGTCTGGGTTTCCTTGAGTTGAATCGCGATCTCGAGTGTGAGCGGGAACGTTGTTGCCTGTTGAGTTGAGTAGTGAGAAGTGCTACTTGCCTCGTTAGGTCACTTATCTGCCTGGCCATATTGTCACGGTTGCTGGTGGCAACTTGAGGACTCACCGGCACGATCTCGTACACCCTGTCTGCGAGTTCGGCTAGTTTCTCCAACGATAAGTCTGTTAAATGAGAAGCAATTACAGTTTGTACATTAATGGGTTAACGGCTTGACCATAATGTTTTAATGACGTCTGATGCTGCAGATGCTCCGGCTAGATTCTGCAGGTGGCGTAAGAACTGCAATGGTTTCCGATCTCCAAGCTCTTCGTGGTTGAGCAATTGCTGGAGGCGCTTCTCCTGCGATACTGAAAGAGGACGTATTAGTTCCGTTTTCAATGTTAGGTACTTATCGGTTCTAGGTGGGTTAGTAATAATATCCTTAACTTCCCTAGCGTATGGAGGTTCTAGTTGCGCGGCTACATAGTAGAATTTTGTCTCGTCATTCCTGATCCTGGACAATAGGAACTGGCCTTCAATTTGTTCTAACCATAAGGCAGGCTCATCGGCCAGGAACTGGGGTACTCTAACACCAACTCTCAAAATTTCTGCGGGAGTCAAATCTTTATGATCGGTGACGTTGACTACACTCGGTTCGTCCATCATAGCACAATATCAAAATAAAAAAAAAATTGTGGTACGCTCACCTTGTTGACTTGACTTGGACCACACCCTATCCTTTGTTATCACCACGTTGTTTTGAAGCTAAATCGTTGATATCGTACGATGTTTAGATCAATTTACCGTTATTTCGGCTTTGTCGACGGGTCACTAATTGTGGGTCACCAATTGTGGGGCTACGCCTTAACGTTGTATTCAAATGTGGGATCGATGTGAAGACCACACCCAATGTTATGTTCGAATACGTTACATTGTAAACTAACGAATACTAATGAAGGGCATGAATAAGAATTAACTGACGCGAATGAAGTAATGTTATTTCTATGTAACAAACAACTTTTACTACAAACAAATTTACAAGACGAAATTAACTACGAGAACAATGTAAGTTAACTGATATAAGTAGCGCATCGCGTCCTGTTGCTATGCCGGTTGAAGGCGGAATGAACGTCGCACATTCTCGCGTTCCGTTGAAGGCGCGGTGACTTATCTTATCGATGATTTGCATTATTCCCTGGTTGTGGCGTGAAACCGATTTGCGTAGGTCTAAGTAAAACGAGTTACGCCACAGTACTTTTGTTTGGTTAGTTCTTCGATTATTTCTGAAACGTGCTTAATAGTAAAATGGCTTGATTTTGTTGTTCTTTTTGTTTTTTTAGAGATATTGCTTTCTTTCTTTTTAAATATTTACAGCTCCCACCACAAATTCCTACTGATGTATACAAGCGTGTTACAAACATAATTTGCACACAAAAACATCCAGATCGGAAGTGACGTGAAACAATTAGTAGAAGCCTATATTTATTAATAGTACTTGTGCTGTACGTTAGCTGATCCTCGGCCTGAAACGTTAAAAACCAAACTCTTGGCCACTAAACTATTAACTACTAACTAGCCGTTTACGATATCCCATACCTTTAAACGAGCAATTCTTAATATATATATTTATATATATATATATATATAAACTATCTTGAATATATAGAATAAGAAGGTAAATTGTGACACTGTGTTAATGATCGTAATAGCTGAGCAAGTACATCATTTGATTTGTCTCAGATCACACCTGTCATTACTCTCTATCTGTTCGTGAAATTTAATCTTAATCGATTCAGCCGTTCCTAAGATAAGTCCGGCCAGATAAAGTAGACAAACATTTTAAAAATGCTTATTCATGTCTTAATGACATGCATATGGCCCACTGAGCTCGATAAAAAATAGATATTCAATTTTATTTATATGCATAGATCATTACTGTTTTTTCTACATTACTTACATCTTTTAAAATATTTATGTGGGATGAAACGCAGCGTAATGAAGTGATCTGGAAGGAACGGAGCGAATGACGAATGAGTAAAAGAATGATAGTGAGTGAGTAAGTGAGAATGATAAAAAAGCAGGATGGAGGAAAGGACGCTTGTAAAGACGTGCACGCAAAAATTAATTAAATTCAAATAAAGAGTGTTTTCAAGATATTTCTGGTTTTACTGTATGCTCAACACTACATTTTTGGGGGCTCGTCCGGGATCTGTGCAGTAAAATCCTTCAGAACACAGTGTACGAGTTTTAGGTGAAATATCACAGCGGCACAATGGGCGCAGGAAATCGAAGATAATGCTGAAATATTCGGCTGGACTCCACTACAGCAATTATTAGTGGCGAGGTGCTCGTTGACCTGCACGGCAGCGCTTTGGCTACATGCGGAACGACCGTTTAAGTCGTGGGATGACCTAAACGCTGCAGTATTGAAAGAATTTTCTGATTCTGTCACCATCAAAACCATACACGAAACGATGAGCACACGCAAGAAGAATGACAATGAAAACTGTTTGGATTATATGCTGACTATGAAAGAGGTGGGAAAGAGAGGGAAATTGCCAGATTACGTAGCAATCAAATATATTGTCGATGGGATACGTGATCTGGAGACAAATTAGATAATGCTATATGGTGTAACTACGTACTCAGAATTAAAAAAAAAGCTACGTATTTACGAGACTGTAAGGAGTAAATTGAACAACGTCGTCGATCGGAGGCGCGCTGTCCCAGACAAAAACCATCTGAAAAGAATCGCTTTTTTTAGCTGTGGCGAGATGAATCATACGTCTGCATTTTGCCAATATAAAGAAAAGGGATTAAATTGTTTTAAATGCAACCAGTTCGGCCATATTGCTACGTCATGCCCGATGCATCATTCAATAATTCAAGTTCGAAACGAAACAACAACGCCCGAGCATAGACGAAGCGGCGAAAGCCGGCTTCATTCGGCAACTCTCAGCAAAAATCGGTATCCGGCGGCGGTACCCGAGAAAAAACGAAGGCAGCAGCAAAGTGACAACATGAAGTTGAAGCGCACTATGTTCGGACGATCGATGACGTCAACGGAAGAATTAACAACTCATTCGCAGGAAGTGAATGATCATTCATCGTGTGATGGCTATGTTGGCAGCCATGACGGCCCGCATCTGACAGCAGCGTCAACGTCAAACTCTGAAAACAGCAACAGAGAGGTTATGCAGATTGTAAACAATACCTGCACCGACAAAACGGATACGTTTAAACCAGTGAAAATGATAACTGTGTACAATCTTAGTGTTAAAGCTTTAGTCGACTTAGGCAGTGACGTTAACATAATTTTATCAGAGTGTTACAAGGCATTAGGTCAGCCAAAAGCGGAAAATGACAATACTATTTAATCAGGGATTGAACAGTGTAAGATTAAATCATTAGGAAAGTGTTATTTACAGCAACATTTGCACATTATTAGTACACAAAAATAATGTAATGTTTTTTTTTTAAAAAAGGAAAAAAGAAAAACCCCCACAAGACAACCAATACAGAAAAAAGAAGCTCCCATACAGTTAAAAATAGTACTGAAAGACGATATTCCAGTGATGCATTGACTCTGAAGATTATCTCCAAAAGAGCAAGAAATAGTGGAAAAACAGGTATCTGAATGGCTAGATAAGAAGATTATCCGGGTGGGTTTCTCGGAGCATCCTAGTCCAGTGGTTCTAGTGCAGAGAAAAGATGGGATAACTAGGGTTTCTGTAGATTACCGGGCATTAAATAGAAAAATTATGAAAGATGAGTTTCCCTTGCCTATTATAGAGGATTTAATTGATAAATTGAGAGACTCTAAATTTTTCAGTATTTAAGATTTGAAAAATGGATTTTTTCATTCAAAAGTAAGCAAGGAATCTATACTCTATACTTCCTTCGTTTTTTTTCGCCAGTTTGAATTCTTGAGAGCCCCCTTTTGACTCTCAATTATCTTCAGAGATTTAATAAATAAGGGGATTATTCTCATCTTTATCGACGATATTTTGATACCAGCTAGCGATGAAAGCCAGGCAGTACAACGCTTGCAAATGGTGCTTGAAGTGGCATCTGAATATGGACTGGAGATAAACTGGAAGAAAGCTAAACTTGTCCAGAAGGAAATAGAATATTTAGGACATGTCATCAAGAATGGGGAGGTAAAACCTAGCCCAGAAAAGACTGATGCAGTAGTAAGGGTACGAGCACCTGTAATGTCAAGCAAGTACAAAGGTTTGTTGATTTAACCTCATATTTTTGAAATTATATAGAGAACTATGCATGACTGCACAGCCATTGACAGATTTACTCAAAAAAGATACTCCTTTTTGTTTTGGTGAAGATCAAAAAAAGCGTTTAATATCTTAAAGTATAAATTATCTAGTAATCCAGTATTAAAGATTTTTAATAGTGGTTTGCCTACAGAATTACACACTCATGCTTCATGTTTAGCGTATGCAGCAATATTATTACAATTTCATCATGACGGATGGCATCCAGTTTACTACATGAGTCGAAAGACCAATGATGTGGAAAGAAAGTATTCAAGTTACGAATTAGAGGCACTAGCTATTATTGAAGGTGTAAAGAAATTTAGACATTATTGGCATGAAATTAAGTTTAAAATCATTACAGATTGCCTAGCATTTGAACAAACATTGAGGAAAAAAGAGTTGTCAGCTAAAGTAGCGAGATGGTTACTATTTTTAGACCAATTTGATTTCACTGTGGAGCACCGAGCAGGTTCAAAGATGAAACATACAGACGCACTCAGCCGTGATTGTCCTACAGTGATGTTGATCACCGATATGCATCAACAAATCAGACAAATGCAAGACCAAGATGAAACTATCAACGAAATATTGAAGAATGGTTCTTATCAAGATCATTGAATCGAAAATGATTTGCTGTATAAAGGAGAATTGAAACAATTGGTAATACCAAAAACTTTGGAAAAAGAAGTATTGGTCATTTTTCATGCAAGAAAATGAAAGAAATCATAAGTAACAGCTATTACATCAATCAGTTGGATAAGAAATTACAAAACTTCATGAAAACATACATACCATGATTACTGGCAACAAGAAAATCTGGAAAGCAAGAAGGATTTTACATCCTATAGAAAAATAAAGTATGCCATTACATACTTTATATCGACCATATTGGGCCTCCAATGGAAACTAAAAAAACAGTATAATTACATTTTGACAATGGTTGATGCCTTCACCAAATTTACATGGATATTTCCAACAAAGTCCTCAACCAGTAAGGAAACATTGGACAAATTAAAAAATTTTCAACAACATTTTGGCAACCCAGACAGAATAATAACTGACAAAGGTACCGTATTTACAGTGAAATGATTTTCGAGAGTTTTGCGAGACAGACGGTATACAACATATCACTATAACAACTGGAGTACCACGTGGAAATGGACAAGTGAAACGTTGCACACGTCGCACGATCATCTCAGTTTTGACAAAGTTATGTATTGAAGACCCTTCATTATGGTATAAGCATGTAAGTCGATTACAGAGAGCTTGAACAGCACATACCATAGGAGCATTGATACAACTCCATTTACACTAATGATTGGTACAAAGTTGAGACAAAAGGAAGATTTGGAAATAATACAAATTTTACAGAGTGAAGAGGTTGAACAGTATAACAGAAACAGAGAAGATTTAAGAGTGAAAGCCAAACAACACATATTGAAATTACAAGAGGAAAATAGAAGAAACGAACACCCTTTTTACTGGAAACGAGGCATTCCATCTTAATCCTTAGGGGCAGCAAGGCACCTGTATTTTAATTCTTAATCGAGGGTAGATGTAGATGTCTATAGGCCACGGCATCCAATCCACTTACCAGCAGGTGGACTGTGTGCTAGTTTGTCGCCATTATTCTATAAAAAAGAATAGTGCGTCTGTTAGTGATCGTGTAACTTCAGAGCGAACTGAACGATTGTAGTTCAAATTCACACATTATATTTGTTTTGCCGAGACTATAATTCATAACTATCCTATACGTGAATCATGTTATGAATGTTATGAACAGATTCTATATTTGTGGACTAAAATGAATCTTAATATATTTTACCGATTCTATCACAAATAATGCAAGCACCTTGCAGTGGGTACCATATTGGATACTCTTTTGACAGTAGGTGCTGCAAAGCACAGAATTATTTTGAAGTATATTAGAGTAAAATATATTAATGTAGTATATATCTACAAGAGAGACGAAAACTTGACAAAAACAAAGTTATCAACACACCAACAACTGCAGTTCCTGTGCACATTTAGTTACAAACTTCTGTTTTTAGCAAGAATGAAAAGGTAGAATTCTTAGCAAATTTCATATCACTGGTGTCGAAAGGGTGAGGGGGGGGGAGTAAGATAATCGATGGGGCTATGATTTTAGGGAGCAATATTTTGATAGTTCCCCCCACGCGTTATCTTTTTTTTAATTTATTAATTTATTTCAATCAACAAGGATCATAGGGTAAAATAGCATTCATTAACATCTATTCTAATACTAAAATTATAAATCATTACTAATATTAATTATATCAAATGCGTAAGTATTTATAATAATATCGAAAAAAAATAATAATATTAACATAAATCGATTTCACCGTTACATACACCATATCCGATTTATAATTATAACAAAACCACCAACAAAACTTACCATAATGATATAATATAATAATTTTTGTTAAAAATACAAAGAAAAAGTCTTAAATATATGTAAGTAAAATTAGGTAATAAATTAGTTTATATACCAGGGGTGCCTTCCGAGGCAATGGGTACATGGACATGAACCCAGTGCCTCAAAAAATCACACTCGGTTTTCTCAATAATTACGTTAAGAATGCTGTTGGCGCTCCCACGAAACCTGTGCATCAGTGACGCATTTTTTTGCGAATAAGTGTTGAAAAATTGTCTACGTGGGCGTCAACAAACATACCGGATGCACTACAGTAACGTGGGAGCTCCAGCAACAATCTAAAAGCGTTATTATATTGTGTACGTATATCTGACCCATAAGGCACACGTATAGAAGGATTGGCAATAGGCCTTAAATAAAATAACACTGTACTGTACTAACTGTACAGCGCGAGAACTAACGGGCCAACATATTGCAGCGGATAGCTAGCGCCCTTCTTTCTCTTTTAATGTCTTTATCATCTTTTAAATCTTCGGTAACAACATGGCCTAGGTATTTAAATTCAGTTACTCGTTTAAGTGCAACACCGCCTAAAGTTACAGGTGGTACGATATTTGGCTTCTTCGTGCCCACCTTAAACACCATGAGCTCACCCTTCGCAACATTATATTCTAGACCGTGGGCTTCTGCATAAACCTCACATATGAACAAAAGCCGTCTGAGTGCACTGACTGACGGGCTCAGAAGTACCATGTCGTCTGCGTAACTGATGTTGTTCATGCAGAGTCCATCAATAGAGTCACACCTACACTTTTTAATTTATATATAAATCAACTATTAATCAGTTCATTTATATATAAATTAAAAAGTGTAGGTGAGGTTGATCCCCCTTGTCTCACACCGCATTCCAATCTGTACTCGTCCGACAATGCACTAGACCACCTTACCTGATTAATTTGATGATCGTACCAATAGCCAAAAATACTAATATACGAGACGGGTAGACCAGCCTTTCGCAATTTATCCCACAGAATGTTATACCTGATAAGGTCGAAAGCCTTTGAAAGATCCAGGAAGGCTACATACACTGGCGTATTCCTTACGGTGTAATACCACACAGTGTGCTTCAGTGACAGTATTGCACACTCGGTTGATAGATTTGGTCTAAAAACAAATTGCGCATCGTTTAACTTAATATGTACTTTTAACTGTCTCTCAAACAAACTGTCAAGTATCTTAGCCGCAATTGTCGATAATGAAATGGGCCGATAGTTGCACATATCTGAAATATATCCGGTTTTGTTTTTCAAAATCGGAACTACGACCGTTCTCATCAGCTCTTCCGGCAAATACGAGTGCCTCATACATAGGGTGAACAAGAGCGCCAGTAGTCTAGGTAAGTGCGAACCAGCGAACTGAAAGTGCTCGATGCTAAGGCGATCGTGACCAGGTGACTATCCTCCAGTCATGCCATTTATCAAAACAGCGATGTCCCTGACGATGATGCGATCGCGCACATGAGTTGATGCACCAGTCTGGTGATGAACCTTAGCATCAATGACTTTAACAGGTGACTGTAAAGAAGACTGAACCCGGAACTGACTCCTAGAAAGATTGGCTATCTTCGCCGGTTCATTTACACCCCCAACGCTCACAACACTGACTTAGTTCATACGGGAAATCGATTTCTCTTGACTTTTGTCGT